TCCTTGGAGATTGTTAAGCAGAGGCTGCTCCACAGGAGGGAGCATTGCACTTGTGCTAAAGTCCTGCTTGCAGGTTTCCCAAGAAGCATCTGGTTGACCACTGTGAGAAAAGGACACTGGACTCACTGGCCTGATGCAGCAGGACTTTTCTGAGGACCTCAAGGTACACAAGGAGAGTCTTCCCTGGAGAGCACAGAGAGTGGGGCTGCGGGTTTCCCCAGGAGGCAGTTGGGCTCCCTCGACACCCCTCCAGCATCAAATAAACATGGAGCCATAATCGTTCTCCATTTGACTAAGCCAATTCAGCACATACCAGAAGACAAAACGGACAACCTTTCACGCCTCGCTGGCCTCCCGTTTGCTGAATCGGCACTGAAATTACTTTCAGCTTTGCTGAACAAGGGGAATGGTGATGTGAACCAGCTCCTTCCCGTGCTTCATCTTTTGTGGGTGTTTTCCCCTCCCTCTCTTCTCTCCCCCCCCCAAACGCAGGCTGATGACGCACACATCTCGCAAGCCCTTCTGTTGAAAGGGGACTATGGCATACTGTTTGCTGCCCTCTGTGGAAGAGGTCAACTTGCACACTGTCGAGCAAGAGCCTTGGGATGGCCTTAAAGATGTCTTTAAATAACCCCCCCAGTGGAGATGAAGAGCAAGGCAGCCCCACATGAGTGGAGGAGGACATGGCATGGCCGCTTGCCCTGAACCATGGCTTCCTGCATGTTGCTGTTGCTGTGGTACAGAGGAGGCATTCAACATTGTGCTAAGGCCAACACCCCAAGCATTTTGGCTTCCCCGTGACACAACATAGGATCGTGGAATGGTAGAGCTGTAAGAGACCCAAAAGGTCATCTGGTCCAATCCTCTGCAATGCAGGGATCTCAGTCCTCCATCTTCTCCCACCACGCGTTGTTCCAGGGGTTTTCTTGACCCTCATCTCTCTCTCTTGTCATCAAAGGAAGGAATAGTACCACTCTATTTTGCCTTGATCAGACCCCACCTGGAGTCCTGTGTCCAATTCTGGCTACCACAATTTAAGAAGGATGTTGACAGGCTGGAACGTGTACAGAGAAGGGCAACCAAGATGGTCAATTATATGGAAATTAAGCCTTACAAGGAACAGTTTAGAGAACTGGGTATGTTTAGCCTGGAAAGAGGAGATGGAGAGGAGACGGGACAGCCAAATACCTTTGCAGGCTGTCACATGGAAGATGGAGCAAGTTTGATTTCTCCTGCTCTGAAGGGTAGGACTCAAATCAATAGCTTCAAATGACATTGTCTCCCAAGACAAATCAATGCCAACCAGGAAGGAGTTGGGGGTGTTTAGCCTGGATAAAAGGAGACTGTGAGGAGATATGATAGCTCTCCTCCAGTGTCTGATGGGCTTTTGCACAGAACATGGAGCAAGATTGTTTCTGCTCTCCAGGGGGGAGAACTAATGGATTCAAATGACAAGAAAGGAGATTCCAACTGAACATTGTTGTTGTTTAGTCGTTCAGTCGTATCCGACTCTTCGTGACCCCCTGGACCAGAGCACGCCAGGCACTCCTGTCTTCCACTGCCTCCCGCAGTTTGGTCAGACTCATGTTCGTACCTTCGAGAACACTGTCCAACCATCTCATCCCCTGTCATCCCCTTCTCCTTCTGCCCTCCATCTTTCCCAACATCAGGGTCTTTTCCAGGGAGTTTTCTCTTCTCACGAGGTGGCCAAAGTATTGGAGCCTCAGCTTCAGGATCTGTCCTTCCCGTGAGCACTCAGGGCTGATTTCCTTCAGAATTAGATAGGTTTGATCTTCTTGCAGTCCATGGGACTCTCAAGAGTCTCCTCCAGCACCAGAATTCAAAAGCATCCATTCTTCGGTGATCAGCCTTCTTTATGGTCCAGCTCTCACTTCCATACATCACTACTGGGAAAACCATAGTTTAACTATACGGACCTTTGTTGGCAAGGTGATGACTCTGCTTTTTAAGATGCTGTCTTAAAACTGAACATTAGCAAGAACTTTCTGAGGGCAAGAGTTGCTTGACGATGGAAGGGACCTCCTCAGAGGGTGGTGGACTCCCTTTCACTGGAGGTTTTTAAGCAGTGGTTGGATGGCCACCTGTCGGGGATTCTTGAGCCATGATTCCTGTGTTGTGGGGGTGGACTAGGCACCCTTTGGGGTAGCTTCAAACCATAGGAGCCAACTCCTAGTGGTCGTGGGGTCTTTGGTCTCCACATTAAAATATTTGAGGGGCTGCCCCCTCAAAGTTGATGGGCATTCCCATTCAAATGGTGTGACCGATTATGCAGGGCGGGGCTTACCTGGGCCCCCACAATATTTTATTCAAGTGGGCAACCCTGCTTCAAACTGTACCCTTTTATGGTTCTGTGATTCTATCCCAGCAGAGAGAGACCGCTAAAAACAGCTATAACACACGGAAGAAGAGACAAAAATGGTCCCTCATTAAAAACCTATAAAACCTGAGGAGAGAAGTACGGGTTTGCTTGGCGTCAAAATGGCAAAAATGTTGGCACTGACATTGCTCCCTGATTATGGCGCCACCACTGAGGAGGCTCTGTCCTGCATCATCACTGCATAAGCCTCACCCTGTAAAACTGGGGCTATTGGATTATATGTATTATTATGTGAAAAAGAAGTCCTTCCTTTTGCATGTTCCAAGTTCTAGCGTAACGGGAGGGGAACTGGCACTTGGGGGCTCTGCACTTTTGCACTGGACCCCTGTAACCCCCTCACCCCAATATCTCCTCAGTCCTGGCCCAGTAAACAAGTAGTCCAGAGTTAAGGGATAATTGGCTTATTATCCTAATTTTGTTTACTCCTTCACCATTGCATTATTAAATTCCTCCACAAAGGCATCTCTGCCTGAACCATAATTATCTGCAGGTGTGAATTAGTCAATTATATCTCCTGGCTCTTAAGCTACGTACCCCATAATAGTTCACCAAAGAAGCCATTTAAGGGAGGGAACCTTGTGTTTCAGTGCGGGGAGAGCAAGTCACTGCACATCTGGGGGAAAGGGAGCAGTTTTAGTAAACGGGTCGGTGCCACAAGTTTTGCAGAATGGGAAGAACCAGACTCTGCTTCTAGCTTCTTAATGCCCTGGAACCCTAGAAGACCTCAAGGAGGAACTGGATCCCTTTGAACTTTCTAGGCCAGGGGTGGGCAAACTTTTTCAGCAGGTCGACCTTATGGGGGGTGGACTATATTTTGGAAAAAAAATATGAACAAATTCCTATGCCCCACATATAACCCAGAGGTGCATTAAAATAAAAGCACACTTTCTACTCATGTAAGAATACGCTGATTCCCCGACTGATTTAGAAGGCGATTGGGCCGGATCTGGCCCCCGGGCCTTAGTTTGCCTAACCATGTTCTAGGCAGTCCTCAAAATATCATTGTTCATCCTCTTATCCAGTATTGTCTCCTCTGGTGTTGGCTATCCAAGTTCTCTGCAGTGAAGCAAGGGGTTAAACCTGAGACCTTCTGCAAGCAGACCCGGCTCAACGGAAGGAGCCTAGCACCATCTCCTAGTGTGGCCATATCATCATGCCGTTCTATGAGCCTACGGTGCAGCTGCCCTTGGAACCCTGTGTGCAATTCTGGTCGCCTCCTCTCAGAAAGGATAGTGCAAATTTGGAGAAGGTTCCAAAAAGGCCAACCAAAATGATCCAGGGCAGTGTTATAGAAAAAAACCTGCTCCTTTCCCCTTATGGGGTATCCAAGAGCCCCTATAGAGTCCTTAAGTAGGTTCCCTATTGGTAGGAGAAAATAACAAAGACCAACCAGAGAATAATGAGAAGCAAAGCTTGATTTTTATTAAACTGTTGCAACAGGGTCCTCAACACATGCAGGAGGGAGGAGGAACCCAGAACAAAGGTGTGCAAGCCCTTATATAGACTTTTGAAACTGCCCACCCTGTAGCTCAAGACCACCCCCCAAAACATCATACATACGTCACAGAAGGAGGAGGTCTACAACAGAAATCCTGTTTGCCAGGATAAAAGTTAATGGTCACTGATTGATTTACCTGGGCAGCCTGGCCATTCTTCTGAGATAGTAAATATTTCAATTCCTGAATCCAGGTCACAGGTTCACCCCATTCATACACAAATATGCGCTTAAGACAGGATTTGTAAGCATAAAGACAAAGGGAAGATTTTCCCATTTCCTTCCTTACTGCAGAGGAATATATTGAGGTCAAGTGGGAGAGTCAAAATGACTTCAGGATTGCTCTCCTGTACCAATTTCTTGAGCTCCATGATCACTGCAGATGGTGACAGCAGTCATGAGATTAAAAGACGCCTGCTTCTTGGGAGAAAAGCAATGACAAACCTAGACAGCATCTTAAAAAGCAGAGACATCACCTTGCCAACAAAGGTCCGTATAGTTAAAGCTCTGGTTTTCCCAGTAGTGATGTATGGAAGTGAGAGCTGGACCATAAACAAGGCTGATCGCCAAAGAATGGATGCTTTTGAATTCTGGTGCTGGATGAGACTCTTGAGAGTCCCATGGACTGCAAGAAGATCCAACCTCTCCATTCTGAAGGAAATCAGCCCTGAGTGCTCACTGGAAGGACAAATCCTGAAGCTGAGGCTCCAAGACTTTGGCCACCTCAGGAGAAGAGAAGACTCCCTGGAAAAGACCATGATGTTGGGAAAGATTGAGGGCACAAGAAGAAGGGGACGATGGAGGATGAGATGGTGGGACAGTGTTCTCGAAGCTACCAGCATGAGTTTGACCATACTGGGGAGGCAGTGGAAGACAGGAGTGCCTGGCGTGCTCTGGTCCAGGGGGTCACGAAGAGGCGGACATGACTAAATGACTAAACAACAACACCATTTCAGACACATGGTTTATATACCTATGTATGTGTTTGCATTGTACATTTATGGACGTTTATTTTTTATTTGGGACCTTAGAATTCTTATAAGAATTCTACATGTAGATTTTTATTTTTTTTTAAGCCATGTCTTCTTTTTCTTTCTGGTGACGAAGAGTTGGAAATGCAAAGGAACGTCTTCATCTGCGCGGGTCAAGTCAGATCATGCTCCTTAAAATAATGGCCTCTAATTCTTCTCCCAATCGGCTGAGCTTCCTGGTAATGATTCCTTTGCTGGGCTGAGCGAAGGAATTGAAATCAGCTTTAAAAGGCAGCGGATTTGCTATTGCTGTGTTCTACAATCCAGAGGTGAGCTTTAGCGAGGATATTCTGATGCTAATTCCTCTTCCCTAGAGGGCATTTTGCTTCATTTTCACGCTGTTTCACTGCCGCCCCTTAAACGTTTTGCCATCATAACGCACGAAGAATAAGCCTTCAGGATAAGTGTTGGACGCCTTATTATATAAATTAATATAAAGGCACTTTCCACCAGACTTTCTGAAGTCTCTCTCTTTCTTCCTTTTTGCCCCAGAGCCAGCTGGCCATCTTCTCAATGAAATGATGGTGCCATCGTGACTCCCAGACCTGTGCAATATGTCTGTGGGTGAGATTCAGCTGGAGACACGACAGTTCAGAAGGTGACCTCACCCAGCTTCTCTGCATTCATGGAAAACTGGGTCCCCCAGCCCCCCAGATCATCCCCCAAATTGAACAGCCATGAGATGGGCTTCTCTCCAAGGGGCTGCTACTGCCCACTCAGTGAAACCTCCCAATTGCTGTTCATCCTGCAATTATTATTACAGTATTATTATTATTATTATAAAAATATTATTATTATTTAAATTTATGTACCACCCTACAGCCGTCGTTATGAGGGTGGTTGCAACATAAAATCACAATATAAAAACACGACATACGTAACCGAAATAAAAACAACCCATTAACCCCCCAATGCACATTTAAAAAGGGCGGCAGGCCCCTTTCGTGTGAGACGGCTTTGCCCCACAAGTGCCCTCACAACGGCTTGGATGGGCAGAACTGGCACCACGAAAGAGGCCACAAACTGCAGGTTCCACATCTGTAAGAACTCTGTCTTTTCACTCAGCAGCATACCCTGCAGTGTTCCTCAGATGTAAATAGGGACATTTCTCACCCCCCCAACTGACCCTCATCGAACCCCCTTTTGTCTGTCCCCCCCATAGCATTTCCTATCAGAAGAAGGATGAGTGCCATCACCACTGTACCAATGAATTTGAATTTTACTATTATGGTCACAGACCAGTTCCGGGTCGCTTACAATATCAGGGAAAATCATAAAACACAACAGGAATACATTAAATTGCAATTGGATATAACAGAGACAATTCAAATATAGCGGCAGTTTTTTAAAAAAAATAAATAAATTTGATCACTAAAATATAACCTAAAATTATCATTTAAAACCTTAATCATTTTGGTAGTACAGCTTGTTCCCTACGTTTTATGGCAGTCACACAGAATTTGGCCACCCTTAGCATGATCTCTGGATCCTTGTCCTCTACCAGGAGTTTTAAACATTGGAGTTCGGACCCATTTGGAGATTTTTGTATAACAGGGGTGATAAATGCCGAACGTATATCCCCGTAGAAACAGCAGTGTAGCAAGACATGAGAGACAGTTTCACCAAATGGGACACAGGACACTTGCCCTCCATTGTCCTGAAAAAAACCTCTAATGTTTTGTTTTGTTTTTGCTCTTTTGGTAGATTTACAAAAAGGGAAGCACACACCAATAAATATATTTTAGCAAGGGCTTCTCCTTCCTTCTTTCCCCCCCCCCCCCCCGGGAGCCCTGCCCCCTGCCTGGCCATCAAAGCCAGTGCATCCAGCAAGTCTGGGCCTTGGTGGAAAAGACAGGATCTCCTCCTCCTCGCTTGCTCTCTAAAATATACTCAGAGTCGAGAGTGGATTTCATGCTCTTTATTCAGCTCATAGTGGTGGGGAGGAATGGAAGTTCCCCCACGAATGTCTGCTTTATATCCATTATTTACACAATGGGCCCCAGGTGATTGGCTAATTCCGGGATTCTCCTGTAGGAAGGAGGTTGGCAGGGGCAGCCGTGGGGAGGCCGTGGGGTGCCCCCTCGCAGCCGCCACAACCACCAGCAGGGCTCAGGACAAGCACCGACTCATCCTCCCCCTGGAGGATGGCAGCCCTGGGGGGGGGGGAATAGGGACATTCTGGGATCAAGAGGGAGGCCGGGGTGGCTTTTGTGATTCCGGGACTGTCCCTGGGAAATTGGGACCCTTGGGGGGTTTGCAGCAGCATTCAACACCTTGGAACTCCCTGCCTATTGACAACGAGTTTAACAGAAACCCCCCATCGACATAGAACAGGTAAATGTTAATGTCTGACATTTTTATTATTTTGCTGGAAGCCGCCCAGAGTAGTTGGTAAAGCTCAGCCAGATGGACAGGGTATTATTAGTTGTTGTTGTTGTTGTTTAGTCATTTAGTCGTGTCTGCCTCTTCGTGACCCCCTGGACCAGAGCATGCCAGGCACCTCTGTCTTCCATTGCCTCCCTCATATTGGTAGCTTCGAGAACACTGTCCCACCATCTCGTCCTCTGTCGTCCCCTTCTCCTTGTGCCCTCCATCTTTCCCAACATCAGGGTCTTTTCCAGGGTGTCTTCTCTTCTCAGGAGGTGGCCAAAGTCTTGGAGCCTCAGCTTCAGGATCTGTCCTTCCAGTGAGCACTCAGGGCTGATTTCCTTCAGAATGGAGAGGTTGGATCTTCTTGCAGTCCATGGGACTCCCAAGAGTCTTCTAGTATTATTAGTATTAATATTATTATGGGCTCTGTAGGGGAGACAACTTTGTCCTCCTGATAGCATTGATCACATTCCCCCATTGACACTTTCTCCAACCTTAGCAAAAGATAGTTATGGCACCTCTGTCAGGCCTAAGGATCCACCAGCCACTGTCAACCCCTTTTTGCCTGGTTCCCTTCTCCCTGCCCCAATCCACCCCACACATTCTGCTCACATTTGTCTGGCCTCTTGGCCCCACCTGGGCAGGAGGGCATCGGGGGCTGCCTTCGTCATATCAGGCACCCCAGAGCTGCCACGAGGCTGCTGAGATACCCACGGATGGAGCCATGGCCATTCTCTGGACAGCAAACGTCTCTTCAAAAGGACTTTTGAGAGAGCAGGAAAAAGCAACAGGAGAAAGAGAACTAAATGCCACATGATTTAGATTTCTCAGGTATAAAATAATCTGAAATAGACTAGCACAAAGTACACCATAAGCAAAGGTATAAAATGGCAGTTTATGGATAAGCAGCCTCTTTTAAGTACTAAACGTTGAGGCGTGTGAGTGAATCTTCAAAATAATGAGGGGGAGCATTAAAAACACATTTATTTTACAGTCTGCACCTTAAGATTCCACAACATTTTTTGCTTAGTTACCGATACAGTGAAATTGGAGGCTTTTAATATTGCTCTTAATGGAATTTCTGAAAAGGCAAATGGAAAAAGCTGTAAGATGACAGTTTGTAAAATGGTGATGGAAAAGATGAATTAAGAGGAAAGGGCCTTGCCGATATATATATATTTAGATGTATGGCCGGGAAAGGCCCGTGGTCCAACAGAAGAAGGAGTCACAGAGCTGGGAGATGATTAAGAGCCCAGCTACCAATGGCTTGTTTTATTTTATTTCACAAGATTTATATACCCTTTGCTTGTAGTAAAACCATAAGGAGAGATGTCTTCTTAGGCACGTAAGGTGATAGGAAGCTGGATTTTCCTGAAGAGACATAGCTCAGTATTGTCCACAGTGACTGTCAATTGCTCTGCAGGGTCTGTAGGAGAAGTTCTCCTTGGTGGTTCCAGTATGGAGCCTCACACCCAGTTCCCAGCTGGTCAGAATTTATTCAGTGATGCATTACCAGGCAGAGTTCAAAGAGAGAGCTTTCAGTTTAGGCCCACACTATGAAGAGTAAGACAAACCTAGACAGCATCTTAAAAAGCGGGGACATCACCTTGCCAACAAAGGTCCATATATAGTTCAAGCTATGGTTTTCCCAGTAGTGATGTATGGAAGTGAAAGCTGGACCATAAAGAAGGCTGATCGCCGAAGAATTGATGCTTTTGGATTATGGTCTGGAGGAGACTCTTGAGAGTCCCATGGACTGCAAGAAGATCAAACCTCTCCATTCTGAAAGAAATCAGCCCTGAGTGCTCACTGATCCTGAAGCTGAGGCTCCAATGCTTTGGCCACCTCATGAGAAGAGAAGACTCCCTGGAAAAGACTCTGATGTTGGGAAAGATGGAGGGCACAAGGAGAAGGGGATGAAAGAGGACGAGATGGTTGGATAGTGTTCTCGAAGCTACCAGCATGAGTTTGACCAAACTGCGGGAGGCAGAGGAAGACAGGAGTGCCTGGTGTGCTCTGGTCCAGGGGGTCACAAAGAGTCGGACACGGCTAAATGACTAAACAACAACAAATGAAGAGTAAGCCTAAGAGAAATTCATTACCAGGTTCAGGGAGTCTTATCAGGAAGCCCCACCTGAAGATCCCAATGAGGACCAAGCTTGGATTTCTGCAGGTAAAGCAGATGCTGTACCCCTGAGCTAGGCCAGATCATTGCTTCCAGCTCTCCCATCTTGGAAGGTGGTGGACACTCCTTCCTTGGAGGCTTCTGAACACAGAGGTTAGATGGTCATCTGCCAGGAGACTTTTAGCTATGATTCCTGAAACACAGGGAGTTGGACTAGATGCCCCCTGGGTCCCTTGCCACTCTACAGTTCTAGGATTCTGTGACTCTGTGACCTCAAAAGGTGGTGGACTCTCCTCCATTGGAGTTTTTTTCTTCCCCCACAGGTAGGATGGCCACCTGTCAGGAACTCTTCAGCTGAGATTCCTGCTATGCAGAAGGTTGGACTGGATGACCCTTGGGGTCCCTTCCACCTCGACAATTCTACGATTCTATGAAACCTTGGAAGCAGAAGAATTAATTCATCCCCTCTCAGTTATTTCTGGCTCTTCTCAAACTCCCCTTGGAAACAGGAACTGCAACATAAACCCACAACGTGGGGAATTTCCCCCGACCTACAGAGTATGGCCATTGTCATCACGTCCAGAAATACTTTTTTGAAATGGGGAGGACTGCCGTCCTGTTAGAGCATCCAGATTTATTGCTCAGGGCCTTACTTAATCTTTGCAGGGGCTAATTCATGTGCTGTAACAGTCAAGGAGCCCCCACTTTTCCTAGCGATTGGCTTTGTCGCAGCTACAATTCCCACAGAGAAAAGCATCATTTTCTCCCCTGAAATTTGCAGTGTGGGTAGAGCATTACTCACTCCTGTGCTAGACCTTCCAATTAGCCGGAAATTAATTCCATCGCCTCTACTTTCGGCACAGCAGCTACGGTTTGGTGTGTGGACCCGCAATGGGCCTTCACGGTCACATGGAGAAACCCTCCCCTTCAGAACATTAGAGGGAAGCTGTGCAAGTGTATTATTAAGCCTGGTGTTGCGAGGAAAATATAAAAAAGGCACATTCTCAATAGAATCCTTTCTGAAAGAACATGATTCTTCCCAAGCACGAAACGGTGTCCCATAACTTTCAGGGGGATGCGATGTTGACCTAGAAAATGGCAGTTCACGCCTCCTGCTCCTTCCGCAGATGGCCTTCGATGGTCCTCTGAGGACAGATTCTGCAC